CTCCTCCTGATACTCCGTCTCCTCCTTCTCCTCCTCCTCCTCGTCCTCCTCCTCCTCCTCCTCCGCCTCCTCCGCCTCCTCTTTCGTCCGGCCCGAAGGTCGTCCGCGGAGAGACCCGGGGGGTCGCGCCGGCCGGACCGCGGGCAGCGCTCGCCGCCGCGCGGCGCCTCCGCCGCGCCCGGCGCCGCCCGAGGGCGGCGGCCCGAAGTCGCCGGGGCCTGGCGCGTCGCGCGGCCAGGGGCGGGGGAAGGACCGGCGAGGGCAACCGCTCGGAGGCGCCAGCCTCGAGAAGCCGCGAGAGGATCCCCAGGGAGGCCCAGGAGAGCCCCAAGGAGCACTTCCTTAAGAGGGCCCCGCTTTACGAGGCTCCCCAGGAGGATCGCCAGGAGGTCCACGCGAGCCCCAAGAGAGGCCTCCCAAGAGAGCCCCACTTCGAGGATACCCCAGAGGCCCCCGAGAGGCCCCAGAGAGCCCCAAGAGGGGCCCCCAAGAGGCCCCAGAGGCCCCAAAAGAGCTCCACCTCGAGGCTCGCCCTTCGAGGAGTAAGGCCTGCGGGCCGCAGGTACTGGCCCAGGCCAGAGGGGAGCAAGCTTCTTCTGGCCGTTCCTGGCCACCTTCGCGGGGCCAGGCCACGCCGCAGTGCTGAGAGGAGACGGCGGAGCAGGAGGAGGGCAACGAGGAGGCAAGACGACGGGGAGGGACGACAACGGGGAGATGAAGGGGCCGAAGGGCTATCGCTTCGTTGTCGTCGTCGCCGCCAACGCCGTCCTCGTCGTCGTCGCCGTCCTCGTCCTCGTCCTCGTCCTCGTCCTCGTCCTCGTCGTCCTCGTCGTCCTCGTCGTCGTCGTCGTCGTCCTCGTCCTCGTCGTCGTCGTCGTCGTCGTCGTCGTCGTCGTCGTCGTCGTCGTCGTCGTCGTCGTCGTCGTCGTTCTTGTCATCGTCGTCGTCGTCGTCGTCGTCGTCGTCGTTCTTGTCATCGTCGTCGTCGTCCCCTCAGGGTCGGCGGCACTGGCCGCAAAGCCTTTGTAATCGCCGGGGCCGGCGCGTCAAAACGCCGCGGGAGAGAGTACGGAGCCGCAGTGCTAGCACTTCGAGGCTCGACCTTGGAGGATCAAAAAGTGTGTCTTCTGTTCCAGCGCAGCTTTGGGAATAGGAGGGGCACGAGGACGAACGAACAGCACACACCCATACCTATCAGGGGGGTCGTTGGGAGGAGGACTGGCTATGGGTATGGGTGCGGGTTGTCCGACCCTAGGGAACGCTCCCGTTCGAGCGGGGACCCCCATCCGACAACACGCACCCACAGCCCTTTCCGACCCTCCCATGGGTATGGGTGTGTTGTTGGTTCGTCACACGAGGGAGGGGACGATCGCACCACGCCAACACGTATACGGTTGCCCTCCACTCGGTCCATTCGGCTGCGTCCCCGAGTCGGTCGGCCGTCTCGGGCTCGAAACTGGAGGAGCAAAAACCGCGCAGATTGTCCGTGAGAGGTTGCCTGCGCTCCGTGCAGGGTCTGGGCAGCTCCACGGCTGGTCCGAGCCCAGCGGGAGCCCTGTTTTGCAAGAGGTTCCGAGGTTCGGGGGAGCCCGCAGGGCCGTTCTCGTCGCCGCGGACGGGTCCGCCGCGAAAATCTGGACCAACCGCACCAGTGGACAAGTCCGCCAACTGAGGGGCCAAACCTCTCGCGTCGTCAAAAAACGTGACGGAATGTGTTTACCTATTTCTGTTGCTGCTTGAGGGTATCTGACACCCCAGAGGGAGCCCGCACAGGTCCCAAGAGGCTCACAATAGGTCCCCAGGAAGCCCAAAGAGGCCCCGAGAGGCTCCCAAGAGGTCCCAGCATTCCTAACCAGGATCCACCGAGAGCTTTCCGAAGAGACCCCAAGAAGCATCTCTCTGGCCCAAGTCAGCGTCGTCGTCGCCGCCACCGCCGCCGCCGTTGTCGTCGTCGTCGTCCACCTTCAGGGTCGGCGGCACCGGCCGCAAGGCCTTCGCAATACGCAATACGCAATGCGCCCATAATATTGTCTAGCGAAAACCAGCACAGGCATCGGTGTGAGCGAGGAGCAGCTGTCATGGGGAGTAGAACTGTCGAGGAGCAATGGGCGAAGAGGACAAGGACAGAGCCCCGCTGCGGGGACACATTCATATCGACCGCCTGTGGAGCGACGTCCTGTGACCCCAGCTAGCGGGTGGACTTGAATATATACATATATATATATATATACATGTATACATATATACACCATACATACATACATACATACATACATGCATGCATGCATGCATGCATACATACATACATACATACATACATACATACATACATACATAAATACATACATATATACATACATACAGACTGGCAGGCAGGCAGGCAGACAGACAGACAGGCATACAGACAGACACACATACAGACAGACACACATACATACATGCATGCATGCATACATACGTGTGCCGGCATAGATACAGACAGACAGACAGGCATAAATACATACATGCATACCTACATGCATACATGCATGCATACTGCATACGTACTATATTCATCCATGCATGCATGCCTACATTCATACACACACACATACATACATACATACATACATACATACATACATGCATGCATACATACATAGCTACATACATACATACATACATACATACATACATACATACATACATACATGCATACATACATACATACATACATACATGCATGCATATACACACATGCATACATACATACATACATACATACATACATACATACATACATACATACATACATTACTTGCATTACATTACATTACATTACACTACATTACCTTACATTACATTACATTACATTACATTATATTTACATTACATTACATTACATTACATGCACTACATTACATTACATTACATTACATTACATTACATTACATACAAACATACATACACATACATTGATTCCATACATTCATACATACATACATGCATACATACATACATGCATATATACAGACAGACAGGCATGCATACATACATACATACATGCATGCATGCATGCATGCATGCATGCAGACATACATACATACACACACCGACCTACCTACCTACCGACCTACCTACCGACCTACCGACCGACCTACCGACCTACCGACCTACCGAACTACCGAACTACCGACCTACCGACCTACCGACCTTCCTACCTAGCTACCTATCTACATACCGACCTACCTACCTACATACATACAAACATACATACATATCTATATATACATGTATACGTATGTATATATATATATGTGTGAACATATACATATATGCATGTGTATATATATATATATATATGTGTGTTAGCCCCATGGGGCCCGGGCCCGAGCATATCCCTATCCACCGCCTGCCGCGGTCCCCGAAGATCGATCCCCCAGGCGGTGGTCCCGGATACGCACACCCCCGCCTCGGGCACGCCCCACGTTGGAAGCGCACGGCGGGTCTGCGCTGGACGGGCCCCGAGAAGAGCGGCCCCCCCCGGGGTCGAAACCGCTCCGTTCTTCGAGCCGCGTCCAGCCGTAGCGACGAGGAGGAGGGGGGGGGAGGGGGGGGAAGGGGGAGGGGGAGGGAGAGCGGGAGGGGGAGGAGGAGGAGGAGGAGGAGGAGGAGGAGGAGGAGGAGGAGGAGGAGGAGGAGGAGGGCGCTGGGACACCTCACCCCAGCCGGCTACAGGCCCCGCGTGAGAGGCTCCTTTTCGGCCGGCGGCCCGCTGCAGAGGCCGCCACGCGGCTCGTGCCGCGCGCGCCGCGGACGTACGCGACGAACTTCCGCATCTGCAGGTCGAGCGCCGTGCCGCCAGAGAACTTGCCCTGGGGCCGCTCTCGGAACACCACATCAAATCCCCGAGAAACTCGAAATCCAACCGCCCGCGTCCACCACGTCATCGTCGTCGGCACAACACCCGCACGCACGAGTCCACGACACAAGACCAGACTTACCCCCCGTCCGAGCCCCCCACACACACGCGCGCCATGCAAGGCCCGCGACTTTAGCACATCGCCCTGGGCCGTCTTCACCACCGCCGCCCAGGTTGTGGTCGTGGTCGTCGCCGCCGCCGCCGTCGGGATCGACGACAGGGAGGGACGACGACGGGAAGAGGAAGGGGCCGAAGGGCTACCACTTCGTTGTCGTCGTCGTCGCCGCCAACACCGTCCTCGTCCTCGTCCTCGTCCTCGTCCTCGTCCTCCTCGTCGTCGTCGCCGCCGCCGCCGTGGTCTCCGTGCTCGCCGTCGCCGTCAAGCCGCACTGAGCCGCCAGAGCGCCAGCTCTCCGGCGGCACGGGGCGGCCCTGGCCCCCACTCAGCACCCCAGAGCGAGGATCGAGGATCGGACATCGTCGAGGATCAGGGGGGAGGAGGCGAGGATCGAGGATCGAGGATCGAGGATCGAGGATCGAGGGTCGAGGATCGAGGGTCGAGAGGATCGAGGATCGAGGATCAGGATCGAGGGTCGAGGATCGGGCAGCGTCGAGGCGAGGATAGAGGCCTCCTAGATGGGGTCGGAGTAGATGGGGTCGGAGGATCGCGCCGAATCGCCAACACATCGGCGATGCATCGGCAGCGCATCGGTGATGCACCGGTGATGCATCGTCGACGTCGGCGATGCATCGGCGACGTCGCCGTGAAGCAAATCGGGCTCCGCACATCGGCGACGTCGCCGTGAAGCAAATCGGGCTCCGCATCGAGCCGCATCGGCGATGCATCGGCGATGCGGCGCGATCCTCCGGCCCCATCTGCTCCGACCCCATCTGGGAGGCCTGCAGAAGCGGCTAGGGGCTCCTCCAAAGTTAATCAGAGGTGCTATGTCCTCCTTCTGGACGCCGCTGGTTTTCGGCTGACTACCTACCAGACCACCCCAACCCAACCCGAAGATCCGAATTTGACCCGAATTTCGGGTTGGGGGGGGTACGGATTCCATGTGTTTTTTCGATGCTCCCCCACCCCCACCCCACCGTAAATCGAGGATAAATTTGGGCCTTCGGGTTGGGTTGGGGTGGTTTGGTGGGTGGTGATCGGCTGGGTTCGTCAGGCGGGCGGCAGCCGTCGCCTTGCTCACTGAGCCCCCCCCCCTCGCCAGCATCCCTGCCCGCACGGCAGCTCTCTCCGGCGTGGGTCGCCCGGGACGCTGCGCCCGCGCGCCCAGGATGTGGGCAGCTCGCCAGAGAACTGCCCAGTCCCTCCGCTCCCTCCCCTCCCTCCCTTCCCCCCTCCCTCGCTCCCTCCTCTGGCCATCGCTCGGACGTCCATTCCCTGTGTTTTTGATGGGCTTCGTGCGTGGCTTTTTCGCCAAATGATCAAGGATGCTCCTCGATGGTCCTCGCCGAAGGAAACATGCACACGTCCGAGCGATGCCGAATTCTCGGGGATCAGCTGACCTGGGTCGATGCAAACCCGGGTCAATCGGGCGCTGCAGGATCCTGCACCCAAACCCGGGTCAGGGCAGCCCTGGCCCTGCGGCATCCTGCAAGATCCGGCGCTCTGACTGACCCCCGTTTGCATATGACCCCCGTCTCTTGAGCGCGGACTCTCCGCTGCCCTCCAGTGCCCGGCCAAAACCCGCTCGGAAAGTCGGCGCCCGCCCAGGCTTCCGACGCGCAGGTCTGGCCGCGGGCGACGGGGGGACTCCGCGGAGGCCCTCCTTCCCGTCCGCCCCTGACGGCCTCCGCATACCTGCTGGTTCTGGCACATCCTCCCACCGCCGAACGGTGAAACGCGCCGGCACTGAACCAGCCCAGCACCTCACGAACAAAAAAGAAGAACGCGGGCACGGGTGGGCAAGCAGCCGATGCGTCCCACAACTCCACGCTTCGTGCCGCGCAGAGCGCGGCGCGCTGCATCGTCGCGCTCTCCTACCGCCTCCTCGGAGAAGGACCAGGACAACTCTCTGGCCGCTCAGCTTCGTTGGAGGCCGCCTCGATTCTCGACGCGCCAGCCAAGGGCGTGGGCAGCCAGGCTCACCCCTCCAGCCCCCCTCCCCTCCGTCGCTCCTCCGACCCCTCCTCCCTCTCCCCCTGCCCCCTCCCCCTCCCTCGCTCCCCGTCCTCCCCCTCCCTCCCCCTCGCCCCTCCCCCTGCCCCCTCACCCTGCCCCCTCCCCCTCCCTCGCTCCCCGCCCCCTCCCCCTCCCTCGCTCCCCGTCCTCCGCGCGCGCTGTGGCTGCAGCGCGGCCTGCTCCACCTTCCGCTCCACCATGCTGCAGTAGTCCACGTCCTCGTCGGCGATGTCGCTGAACTTGCGGCCCTCTGCCAGGGGCCGAGCGCGCGAGAGGGTGACCAGAGGAGCTGCAGGAGAATGCTCAGCTTCCCAGAACCGGACATCCCTTGAGCGAGCAGGAGGAAGGGAAGGGGGGAGGGGGGAAGCTCTCGGAGCGTATGGGAAGAGGGAGGGGCAAGGAGGAGGGAGGAGGGAGGAAGAGGGAGAGAGTGGAGGGGGGGCAAGGGAACGTGGAGGGAGGAGGGGGAGGGGGTGATGGAGAGTGGGATGGGGATGTGAAGAGTGGGGGGGGCAGGAGGGAGGGTGAAGGGGAGGGAGAGTGACGGGGATGAACGGGGAGGAAGGCGAGAGGACAGTAGATGAGTACCATTGATTTTTTTCCCTAACAGAAATAATTCGCTGAGCAATTAATGCTGTAGCTGTACTGTAGGGTGCTACAGTAAATAATTCGCTGAGCAATTAATGCTGTAGCTGTAGCTGTAGCTGTAGCTGCGACGCAGCTTTCGCGCGGCGTTTTTTCTGTTTTTTACGACGCCGGGAGGTCTGGGCCAGGAAGGAAAAAGGAGTTAGAAAGGAATTTGATAAGGGATTTCAAAGGTTAGAAAGGAATTCAGTTTTTTTGCGTTAAATTTGTTTTTTTACGACGCCAGGAGGTCTGGGCCGGGGAAGAAAAAGGAGTTAGAAAGGAATTTGATAAGGAATTTCAAGAGTTAGAAAGGAATTTCGTTGTTGGGGTCGTTTTTTTGTTTTTTTTAACGACGCCGAGATGTCTGGGCCAGGAAGGAAAAAAAGGAGTTAGAAAGGAAATTGATAAGGAATTTCCAGGGAGTTTGAAGGGAATTTCGTTTTGGGTGTTGTTTTTAAACAAAAAAGAAACGACGCCGGGAGGTCTGGGCCAGGAAGGAAAAAGGAGTTAGAAATGAATTTAATAAGGAATTTCATGAGTTAGAAAGGAATTTCGTTTTTGGTGGTGGTTTTTTGTTTTGTTTTTTACGACGCCGAGAGGTCTGGGCCAGGAAGGAAAAAGGAGTTAGAAAGGAATCTAATAAGGAATTTCAAGAGTTAGAAAGGAATTTCGTTTTTGGGAAATTGATTGTTGTTTTGTTTTTTTTTCGACGCCGAGAGGTCTGGGCCAGGAAAGAAAAAGGAGTTAGAAAGGAATTTAATAAGGAATATCAAGAGTTAGAAAGGAATTTCGCTTTTTTGGATTATTTTTGTTTTGTTTTTTTTTTAAACGACACCGAGAGGTCTGGGCCAGGAAGGAAAAAGGAGTTAGAAATGAATTTAATAAGGAATTTCAAGAGTTAGAAAGGAATTTCGCTTTTTTGGTGGCTGTTTTTTGTTTTGTTTTTTACGACGCCGGGAGGTCAGGGCCAGGAAGGAAAAAAGGAGTTAGAAAGGAATTTGATAAGGAATTTCAAGAGTTAGAAAGAAATGTTGTTTTTTGGGTTGTTTTTTGTTTCATTTTTTACAACGCCGAGAGGTTTGGGACAGGCAGGAAAAAGGAGTTAGAAAGGAATTTAATAAAGGAATTTCAAGAGTTAGAAAGGAATTTCGTTTTTGGTGGTGTTTTTTTGTTTTGTTTTTTTACGACGCCGAGAGGTCTGGGCCAGGAAGGAACAGGAATTCGAAAGGAATTTAATAAGGATTTCCAAGAGTTAGAAAGGAATTTCGTTTTTTTTGAAATTGTTTTTTGTTTTGTTTTTTTACGACGCCGAGAGGTCTGGGCCAGGAAGGAAAAATGAATTAGAAGGGAATTTAATAAGGAATTTCAAGAGTTAGAAAGGAATTTCGTTTTTGGGTGCTGTTTTCTGTTTTTTTACGCGCCGAGAGGTCTGGGCCAGGAAGGGAAAAAAGGAGTTAGAAAGGAATTTAATAAGGAATTTCAAGAGTTAAAAAAGAAATTTCGTTGTTGGTGTTGTTTTTTTTGTTCTGTTTTTTTCACGACGCCGAGAGGTCTGGGCCAGGAAGGAAAAAGGAGTTGGAAAGGAATTTAATAAGGAATTTCAAGAGTTAGGAAGGAATTTAGTTTTTGGTAGTTGTTTTTTGTTTTGTTTTTTCACGACGCCGAGAGGTCTGGGGCAGGAAGGAAAAAGGGGTTAGAAAGGAACTTAATAAGGAATTTCACAAGTTAGAAAGGAATTTCGTTTTTTTGGGGGCTGATTTTTGTTTTGTTTTTTTCACGACGCCGACAGGTCTGGGCCAGGAAGGGAAAAAGGAGTTAACAAGGAATTTAGTAAGGAATTTCAAGAGTTAGAAAGAAATTTTGTTTTGGTGGTTGGTCTGTTTTGTTTTGTACGACGCCGAGAAGTCTGGGCCAGGAAGGAAAAAAAAGGAGTTAGAAAGGAATTTAATAAGGAATATCAAGAGTTAGAAAGGAATTTCGTGTTTCGGGGTTGTTTTTTGTTTTGTTTTTCTACGACGCCGAGAGGTCTGGGGCAGGAAAGAAAAATGAGTTAGAAAAGAATTTAATAAGGCATTTCAAGAGTTAGGAATTTCGTTGTTTGGGGTTGTTTTTTTTACAACGCCGAGAGGTTTCGGCCAGGAAGGGAAAAAGGAGTTAGAAAGGAATTTAATAAGGAAATTCAAGAGTTCGAAAGGAATTTGATTTTTTGGGGGTCTGTGTTTTGTTTTGTTTTTTTTACGACGCCGAGAGGTCTGGGCCAGGAAGGAAAAAGGAGTTAGAAAGGAATTTAATAAGGAATTTCAAGAGTTAGAAAGGAATTTCGTTTTTTGGGGTTGTTTCTTGGTTTTGTCTTTTTACGACGCCGGGGGGGTTGGGCCAGGAAGGAAAAAGGAGTTAGAAAGGAATGTAATAAGGAATTTCAAGAGTTAGAAAGGAATTGTTTTTTGGGGGGTCTGTGTTTTGTTTTGTTTTTTTTACGACGCCGAGAGGTCTGGGCCAGGACGGAAAAAGGAGTTAGAAAGGAATTTAATAAGGAATTTCAAGAGTTAGGAAGGAATTCTGGATACCAGAAAGAATTCTGCATCTCAGAGACTATCTGATAAGAATTGCCCAAGAAGCGCCGGGGCCAGGAAGGGGAAACGGAGTTAGAAAGGAATTCGATAAGGAATTTCCAAGAGTTAGAAAGAACTTTTGAATACCAGAGAGAATTTTGAATCGCAGGCCCACTTGCGTCAGAATTCCCCAAGAAACGCTGGGGCCAGGAAGGGGAAACGGAGTTAGAAAGGAATTCGATAAGGAATTTCCAGAGTTAGAAAGGAATTTTGAATACCAGAGAGAATTCTGAACCTCAGAGACAATCGAGTCCGAATTGCCCGAGAAAGCCAGGGCCAGGAAGGGAAAAAGGAGTTAGAAAGGAATTTGATAAGGAATTTCCCGAGTTAGGAAGGAATTTTGAAAACCAGAGAGTATTCCGAATTTCAGAGACTAGGTATCGAATCAGAATTCCCCAAGAAACGCTGGGGCCAGGAAGGGGAAACGGAGTTAGAAAGGAATTCGATAAGGACTTTCCAGAGTTAGCGAGGAATTTTGAATACCAGAGATAATTCTGAACCGCAGAGAGTATCGATTCAGACTTGCCCGAGAAAGCCAGGGCCAGGAAGGGAAAAAAGAGTTAGAAAAGGAATTTAATAAAGAATTCCCAGAAGAGTTAGAAAGGAATTTTGAATACCACAGAGAATTCTGAACTTCAGAGACAATCGAATCAGAATTTCCCAAGAAACGCTGGGGCCAGGAAGGGGAAACGGAGTTAGAAAGGAATTCGATAAGGAATTTCCAGAGTTAGAAAGGAATTTTGAATACCAGAGAGAATTCTGAATCTCAGAGCCAATCGCGTCAGAATTCCCCAGGAAACGCCGGGGCCAGGAAGAGAAAAATGAGTTAGAAAGGAATTTAATAAGGAATTTCCAGAGTTAGAAAGGAATCTTGAATACCAGACAGAATTCTGAATTTCAGAGACTATCGAATCAGAATTCCCCAAGAAGCGCCAGGGCCAGGAAAGGGAAACGGAGTTAGAAAGGAATGTAATAAGGAATTTCCAGGGTTAGAAAGGAATTTTGAATACCAGAGAGAGTTCTGAACCTCAGAGACAATCGAATCCGAATTGCCCGAGAAAGCCAGGGCCAGGGAGGGAAAAAAGAGTTAGAAAGGAATTTGATAAGGAAACTCCACAGTTAGAAAGGATTTTTGAATGCCAGAGAGAATTCTGGATTTCAGAGACTATCGAATCAGAATTCCCTAAGAAACGCTGGGGCCAGGAAGGGAAAACGGAGTTAGAAAGGAATGTGATAAGGATTTTCCTGGGTTCCGAAGGGGAAGAAGGAACTCCGTTTTCCCTTCCTGGCCCCAGCGTTTCTTGGGGAATTCTGATTCGATAGTCTCTGAAATTCAGAATTCTCTCTGGCATTCAAAAATCCTTTCTACCTTTAGAATTTCCATATCAAATTCCTTTCTAACTCCTTTCTCCCTTCCTGGCCCTGGCTTTCTCTGGCAATTCGGACTCGATTGTCTCTGAGGTTCAGAATTCTCTCTGGTATTCAAAATTCCTTTCTAACTGTGGAAATTCCCTATTAATTTCCTTTCTAACTCCGTTTCCCTGTCCTGGCCCCGGCGCTTCTTGGGGAATTATGATTCGATAGTCTCTGAAGTCAGAATTCTCTCTGGTATTCATAATTCCTTTCTAACTCTTGAAATTCCCTTATCAAATTCCTTTCTAACTCCTTTTTCCCTTCCTGGCCCCAGCGTTTCCTGGGGAATTCTGACGCGATTGGCTCTGAGATTTAGAATTATCTCTGGTATTCAAAATTCCTTTCTAACTCTGGAAAATCGTTATCGAATTCCTTTATAATTCCGTTTCCCCTTCCTGGCCCCAGCGTTTCTTGGGGAATTCTGATTCGATTGTCTCTGAAGTTCAGAATTCTCTCTGGTATTCATAATTCCTTCCTAACTCAGGAAAAATTCTTATTAAATTCCTTTCTAACTCTTTTTTTCCCTTCCTGGCCCTAACTTTCTCGGACAATTCTGATTCGATACTCTCTGAGGTTCAGAATTATCTCTGGTATTCAAAATTCCTTTGTAACCCAGGAAAGAACGTACCACATTCCTTTCTAACTGTGTTTCCCCTTCCTGGCCCCAGCGTTTCTTGGGGAATTCTGATTCGATTGTCTCTGAAATTCTGAATACTCTCTGGTATTCAAAATTCCTTTCTAACTCGGGAAAGTCCGTATCAAATTCCTTTCTAACTCCTTTTTCCCTTCCTGGCCCCAGAGTTTCTTGGGGAACTCTGATTCAATAGTCTTTGAAATTCAGAATTCTCCCTGGTATTAAAATTCCTTTCTAACCCGGGAAATTCCTTATCGAATTCCTTTCTAACTCCGTTTCCCCTTCCTGGCCCCAGCGTTTCTTGGGGAATTCTGACGCGAGTGGGCCTGCGATTCAGAATTCTCTCTGGTATCCAGAATTCCTTTCTATCTCTGGAAAATCCTTGTTAGATTCCTTTATAACTCCTTTTTCCTTCCTGGCCCAGACCTCTCGGCGTCGTAAAAAAACAAAACAAAAAAAACAACACCAAAAACGAAATTCCTTTCTAACTCTTGAAATGCGTTATTTAATTTCTTTCTAACTCCTTTTTTTCCGTCCTGGCCCAACCCCCCTCGGCGCCGTAACAAAACAAAACAAAAAACAACCTCAAAAAACGAATTTCCTTTCTAACTCTTGAAATTCCTGATTAAATTCCTTTCTAACTCCTTTTTTTTCCTTCCTGGCCCAGACCTCTCGGCGTCGAAGAAAAACAAAACAAAAAACAACCACAAAAAAACAAACTGCTTTTCTAACTCTTGAAATTCCTTATTAAATTCCCTTCTGACTCCTTTTTCCTTCCTGGCCCAAACCTCTCGGCGTCGTTTAAAAAGAAACAAAAAAAAACAACCCCCGAACACGAAATTCCTAATTCTTGAAATTCCTTATTAAATTCCTTTCTAACTCCCTTTTTCCTTCCTGGCCCAGACCTCTCGGCGTCGTAAAAAAAAACAGACCCCCGAAAAAAAACAGCCAAAAAAACAAAATTCCTTTCTAACTCTTGAAATTCCTTATTAAATTCCGTTCTAATTCCCTTTTCCTTCCTGGCCCAGACCTCTCGGCGTCGTAAAAAACAAAACAAAAAACATACCCCAAAAAAACGAAATTCCTTTCTAACCCTTGAAATTCCGTATTAAATTCCGTTCCAACTCCTTTTTCCTTCCTGGCCCAGACCTCTCGGCGTCGTAAAAAACAGAACAAAAAAACAACCCCCAAAAAAACATAATCCTTTCTAACTCTTGAAATTCCTTATTGAATTCCTTTCTAACTCCTTTTTCCTTCCTGGCCCAGACCTCTCGGCGTCGTAAATAAAAAACAAAACAAAACAAAAACAACACAGAAAAAAAAACAAAATTCCTTTCTAACCCTTGAAATTCCTAGTTAAATTCCATTCTAACTCCTTTTTCCGTCCTGGCCCAAACCTCTCGGCGTCGTAAAAAAAAAAAAACGAAACGAAAAACAACCCCAAAAAACGAAATTCCTTTCTAACTCTTGAAATTCCTTATTAAATCCCTTTCTAACTCATTTTTCCTTCCTGGCCCAGACCTCTCGGCGTCTTAAAAAAGCAAAGCAAAACAAAAACAACCCCCAAAACGAAATTCCTTGCTTGCTAACTCTTGAATTTTCTTATCAAATTCCTTTCTAACTCGTTTTTTCCTTCCTGGCTCAGACCTCTCGGCGTCGTAAAAACAAAAAAAAAACACCAAAACAACCCAAAAAACAAAATTCCTTTCTAACTCTTGAATTTCCTTATCGAATTCCTTTCTAACTCCTTTTTCCCTTCCTGGCCCTGGCTTCCTCGGGCAATTCGGACTCGATTGTCTTTGAGGTTCAGAACTATCTCTGGTATTCAAATTCCTCTCTAACTCAGGAAATTCCTTATCGAATTCCTTTCTAACTTCCCAACTCAATAGAAATGCATAACCAAAATGCTCTTGGCAATATTTCGAGCCTACATTATTAATTCCCGACACAATTATTGATGTAATTGCATACAGTGCGCACTACAGAAATAATTCCGAAACCAATTAAAGCTGTACTGTAACCAAAAAAAATCAATGGTAGGAGCAGATGGAGCAAGAGCAGGATGGACAGGACGAAGAGGAAGACGAGGGAAAGAACAGGAAGAACTATGAGAGGAGAGAGGACCGAAGGAGCTGCTGGGAGGAAGGAGGAAAGGGGACGGACGAGAATGAGGCCGAGGAAATGAGTTGGAGGAAGACATGACATGAGGCATAAGGAGAGGAAAAGGAGGGGGGATGGGGGATGGGGGATGGGGGAGGAGGAGGAGGAGGAGGAGGAGGAGGAGGAGGAGGAGGAGGAGGAGGAGGAGGAGGAGGAGGAGGTAGGGGGGGGTAGGGGAAGGAGGAGGAGGTAGAGAAGGAGGAGGAAGAAGCGGAAAACGAGGAAGGCTTGGGGACCGGGAGGGGAAGGAAGCGGCCAGGGGGATGAAGAAGGCGTAGGGGGGGCGCGGGGGGAGGACGCGGGGAGGGGGACGCCAAGGGTCAGGGGGAAGAGGGGAGAGCCATGAGGGAGAGCACGGATGCGGGAGGGGAGAAGGAAAGAGGGATGCAGGGAAGAGTGGCCAAGGCAGAGGGGGGCAGGAGGACCTGGTGAGGACCCGGGGAGAGGCACAGGGGACCCGGGGAGAGGCACAGCACTGGAGTCCCCAAGCCGCGGCCAGCCTTGTGCTTGCCAATGGAGAAGGTCTCGTCCTTGGTCCAGCAGACCAGACGCAATACACCGAATCCTCCTCCTCCTCCTCCGGCTCCTCCTCCTCCTCCTCCTCCTCCTCATCCTCCTCCTCAACATCCTCATCATCCTCATCATCATCAGCAGCATCAGCATCAGCATCAGCATCATTAGCAGCATCATCAGCAGCAGCATCGTAATCAGAAGCACCAGCGTCATCATCATCTGCAGCAACAACAACATCATCATCATCAGCAGCAGCAGCCGCAGCAGCACCAGCATCAACAGATGCATCATCATCAACATCATTAGCATCCTCAGAATCATCATCGTCATCGGCAGCAGCAGCGGCACCGTCATCATCATCATCATCATCATCATCATCATCATCATCAGCAGCAGCAGCAGCAGCATCCTAGTTGTCATCTTCATCCGCAGAATGATCGTACTGCTCCTCATAATCAGCCACAGCATCTTGACAAGCTTCTTCGTCAACATCATCATCCTCATCAGCAACGGTCGCATCATTATCATCATCAGCATTAGCATCATAATAATAATCAGCAGTATTAGCATAATCTGCATTTGCATCATCGTTTTCAGCATCATCGTACCACCAGCATCATCATCAGCATCGGAGGCGACATCGTCGTCATCGGCATCAGCGTCAGCATTAGCATCCTCGTCCTTGTTATCATTACAATCATCAGCATCATATTCTTCATCAGCATCCGCATCATCGTCGTAGATATCGTCCTAGATATATATATATAGAGAGAGAGAGAGAGAATGAGAGAGAAAAACATCATCGCCAGCATGGTCATCATCATCATCATCATCATCAGCAGCAGCAGCATCATCATCAGCATCAGCATCATCATCATCAGCATCATAAGCATCATCAGCATCGTCATCATCAGCACCCCCATCATCATCATCGCCATCGCCAGTCTCATCATCAGCAGCAACTCGACATCATCGTCAACAGCACCTCCATGGTGCGACTGCTGATGCTGACGCTGATGTTGCTGCTGATGACAAACATGATGGTGATGCTGATGATGATGTCCATGATTACGATGGTGATGCTAATGCTGACGATGATGATGATTCTGGTGATGATGGCGATGATTATGATGTTGATGCTGGTCACGGTGATGATGATCATCATCATCAGCAGCATCATCATCATCAGCATCATCAGCACAATCAGCATCATCAGAACAATCAGCATCGAAAATATCAGAACCCTCATCATGGCCATCAGCAACATCGTAACCACCACCACCACCACCAGCGTCTTCATCAGCATAACCATCATAATCACCGTCATAACCATCGTCGTCGTCGTCAACATGGCCATCACCATCAACAGAAACAGGATCATCATCACCAGCAGCTGCATCAGCATGATCATCGTCAGCAGCCTCCGCCAAAACATCATAATCCGCCGACCCCTTGGGGTCATCGGCGTGTGAAATGCTTCGCTCTCCCCAAACCCCTCCCACCGGGGCCCGGTCCGGTTCGGCAGGCTCAGGCCCCTCCCCCCGGAGCCCTCTCCACAAACTCCTCCCCCTGGGCCCTGTCCGGTTGGGCAGGCTCATGGTCCCTCTCCCCAAACCCCTCCCCCCTTCGGGCTGAGGCTCAGGCAGGGCGCAGGCCGGCAGCGCTGCACTGCCACGGCGGCCCGCGCACCCCAGGCAAAGCCCGGGGAGCATGCATCAAGCCCACGAACGCCTACCGCATTTCAGTTCCTAAGGGCCCGGTCCGGTTGGTTTGGAGGAGGGGGTCCAACTGGCCCTGGCTGAACGCGTCACAGGCCTCACGACGGGCCACGAGGGCCCAAAGAGGCCCACAAGATGGTGCAAGAGGCTCGGGCAATATGGTGAGCCAGGCTTTGCTAGCGCTTCTGCGTCGACCAGTTCCGCCGCCTCCGCGTCCGTCGCCTGTGCGACGCTGTGAGGCATCCGCCGCCAGCCCGCTCCCGCCGCCTTTACGTTCCGATGCTCGACCGAGCGGTGCCGGAAAAGCAGCAAGCGTGCGCCATCCCCGAAAGGCTCCCAAGAGGCACCCAGGAGGCCCCCAAGAGCCCCCCAAGGGGCCTCCAAGACCCCCCCCAAGAGGTCCAAAAGACGTGCCCAAACGGCCCCCCAAGCCCTTGCAAAATAAATTAGATAAATTATTATTTCGTTGGCTCCCGGGGGGGGAGAATGTTACCAAGGCGCCCAAGAGCGAAGGATGACGTAAACAACTCGACACCAAGGCTCCCAAGAGCGAGCGGCAACGCAACAATCACCACTGTTGCCCATTGCTGGCCCCACCCCCAACCTCCTTATCACCCGCAGGGTGGTCGTATCTGTTTGTATAGGGAAGTTCTGGCTTCGGAACCATCTGATCGCCGCAGCCCCGTGTCGTGGGCTGGAGTCATATCCACATTCACAGCCTCGCTGTCCAGACTACGAACTCCCCCACGGCCCCAAAGGTACAGGGCGGATTTGAGCGGATATCCCGCGCGGACTGCATCATTTTTGTGTGAGGGATACAGGGCGGATCTCCTCCCCCCCTCTGCGCTCTTGTTTTGCCTCCCCGCAGGAGAGCATAAGGGGGAAGCCTATGGGTACACTCTGGAGGAGCCTCCGTGGGACCGTACAGGGGACCCTCTGGGAGGCCTCTGAGGGTGGGTGCCGTCCAGAACTCCCCTCCCACCCCCCCCGCTCCTGTCCTGCCTCCCGCGTGGGTGCATGAGGGACTGTCTGGGGTACCATTGCGGAGGCCTCTGAGTGCGGGTGCCGGCGGAGGCTCCCCCCCCCGTCGCTCCTATCCTGGCCCCCCCTCAGGGGAGCAAGAGGAGGACCCCCAATGCTCCCCCGAGCCTTCCTTGCCGTGCACAGCTGTGGTCCAGAGCTCGGAGCCTTTTACTTTAGTCGTCGTTCCTTCCTTCGCTCGTCGCCGCCCCCCTGCCCCTGCCTCCTCACGATGGTCACGAAGGCCCCAGGAGAACACCAGGATGGATCCAAGAATCCCCCCTCTCCTCACCCCGCCTCGCACGACCACCATCGCCCTCCCTCGTGCAAGAGCCAGGGCCATGCCGATTGCTTGTCGCTCGTGACTGGACCACGGACGAGGGGCGAGGGACGAGGGACGAGGGACGAGGGACGAGGACGACGACGACGACGACGACGACGACGACGACGACGACGACGACGACGACGACGACGATAACGACGACCCAAATCCCCTACGTCGTGTTTTTCCCAAAACGTGACGACCTCCGACAGCCTCCAAAGCTCCGAACACGGTCGGAAACCTCGAAACGATCCTGCTGATCGCCGAAAATGTTCAAACCTCGAGGACGAAACCGCCGCCGCCGCCGACGACGATGATGGCGACGACGGCCCTGGGGCTGGTCCTGGAGGGCGCTCTGGCGAGAATCTCGAGAGGAGCCCCCCCGAACGGGTGGTGGCCGTCAACGATAAAAAAAAAGACACCAACTCAGTGGGGGGGAAACATCG